CTCGGCAAAAGATGAAAAGAGTTAGGCGCCGCGCTTGTCGCGCTTCGTTCTACTTACTCAACGGATTCGTCTGTTTCTACTTACGTTAGCGTCTGGTGCTCGCCGGCGAGCACGTTCAAGTTTTTTCCACTAGCACTGCAAGCGACGTGATTCACGCAACGATGTCGGCTTATTTTACTGAACGATGTAAACGCGGCCACTCGCAAAAAGAAGGGTGGAGAGACTTTCTAGACTAATCTAAATCTCCATTGTCGAGGAACGCTTGATTACTTCCGAGAAGGTAATCACTTAATGTAACCGTGGAACGGAATATTCTGAAATCATTATAAAATTTATATGAAATTCCGATATATAATCCGATAATTACATATGCAAGAAATAATTGTGTAATATTAGATAAAATCGTTAATTTTACCAAATGACCGCATATATAGTGAGGAAAATTATTTGTCATCAAATAAAATTATATAGAATTAAATGAAATCATGTAATCTATGGGACAATATTTCAGATAGTGATTACCCCTTCGGCTTGATCTTATATAGACATAACTACTGAGATTTTATGTGTTTGTCACAATTCGTCTATTTCTACTTTACGTCACGCGTTCGTTATTGCATTTGAACTTTTCAAGGAAACAATAAAATTCTTACAATATATGTACATATATATTATTAACAGAAATAAACATAATGAATTACATTTTAAAAAGACGCAAATACTATTTTTGGATAATTGTAAAAAGCAGTGAAAAAACGTTACAAATGTACAAAAAGATTAACAAATTAAAATGTTCGACGATACATTTTTCGTTAACTGCCAGAAGTGTAATGTAATTATTAAATTTGTAATATGATATATATAAGTCTATTTGATGTCCAAAAATAACAACGACTGCATTTCCAGCCACGAGAATAAAATCATATTTATGAAACTGAAATTGGTAAATGTAGAGTATCGCATAAATTCAACAAAACAAAATCTATTGATATATCCGCAGTAGTTTACGTGTATACATTAATCCTATCGATCACGCGCGATTTCATCGCTTATTCACAATCAATATAATATTAATAAATCATTCACTGTTTATAAATTATAACTACTTGTAATATCATCGCGGTATAATGCAAATTTATGCAAAACCGGACTTGCTCAATCTCAGATGTTTGCCGTTCGTTTTATTGACATTGTAATTCGCATTCATATGACAGGAACTATCGCTTGTCTTACATTATGCATGCACTTTATGCATACCGCTACCGGGATAAGTAGTGGCGTAATTAGCGTGGTGTTAATAGTTTGTACTACTAGTTTGATACAATTCGCTTTCTTCTGCCGTGTAACTCGCATTGCCTCGTTGAAACTCCACTTTGTCGTCTCGCGAGAACAATGGTATAATTTATATGATTTCCTAAAAGCACAAAGTGAATACAGCCAGCGTCTCTGGAGGGTCGATTTATTTGCCTCTAGCGGCATAAAATCGACGATAATATTTCAAAAAGCTCGCAACATGCAGCATTACTGAGTTAATTACACGATAATTTGTTGAAATATCTTATAAGAAGGAAAAGGAATTTAACACGCACTATGTTTCATCCAATAAGAATAGAGTGGAAATATATGAGTCTATGGAAAGAACTCAAAGAACAATTTTGCATTGAGGTATCTAAAAATTTGGCTGAATACAGTCTGAAAATAATTTTATTGGATTATCAAAATGATTATGTAGAACACTGACGCTAAATCCTAAAATAGTAAAATATTTTGAAGTATTGCTCATCATATTTGAACGTCCTACATAAGTAATTCTTTTAATGGTTCGTCAAAAGTATTTTCAAATAAATCTGTATCTATAATTATAAAATTTTAAATATGTTAACTAAATTCGTCCTTTCCCTCCTCCCCCCCCCC